CATGCCGGTATTGCTTATGCACATGTTCTCCCACACCATAAATGTTGCTGCTGGGTAGTTTGATTGACAGCTGTAAATATTGGTCAGCATACTGCAGTGGTCCTATGTTAGTATCAAAACTGATTAAACAATAAAAAAAATAAAAAAAATTTTAGCACTGACTGTAAACCACCTGCACAAAGTCACCTGCTGAAGGTTATATCTATTAGTACATTAGTATTACTTGCTCGACATAAAGAAACAAAGTAACTATAGAAGAAAGCTTTTGAGTCTTGTGTAGTAGCTTACCACAAGCTCTATGCATAGGACATCATACTTTGTTTGGCCAAAATCAACAGTGCTTTCAGAATATCTTTTCCCATGTAAATGTAACAGTCAGCAGGTTTGAGCAAAACAGAGCAGGAAGAGCAGCCCACCTTGAGTTCCTATTTACCCTCCTGTGCAGCTAAGAACAGAATAAGCCCAATTTTTATATTTATACTTGTGCAGAAGAATTGCAGAAATGAGGGATGGCTCTAACTGTAGCCAAGGATGATCAAGTGACTAAGCGACCAAGTGATTAAGGCCAAGTGACCAAGACACCACGTACTGCAGGGCAGCATTGCTCTTCTCAGCCCTGAATATTTGAGTAGCTCTCCCTGCTGTTTGCTCTGAGGGAATGATTACTGCACGATTAACAGTAACATCTCTGCAAAACCAGAAATTGTTTCTACTCACTAGTAGAAGCAATTAGTGCAGGACAAAAACAGTCTTGGGCAGCAGGTTCAGATTTTGATCCAGCTGACAGGCTGAGGAGAGGGAGGTGAAGGGGGAAAGTGATAGGCTAGAGCAGAGCAAACCTCATACACACAGTGATATATGCAGTGCCTATTGATGATATAAAAACTTCCTGTACAAGTGGCCAAACTATTTTCTACTACCCTTTTCCACCAAAGCTTCCTATCCTGTCTTTTACATTGCATACTGAATCAGTTCTCCAGGTGGCCATATACACAATAACTGGGCAGATGGAAAATTTCAGTAACTGTCAAGAAACAAAAATAGTCCTCTTTTCACTAAACTTTTCAAATCAGCTGCAGCTTGTGCTCACCAGGGAAAATGAACAAGCCCAGTCCTTGTTTGAGTCCTGCTAGACCAGGCAGTACAGGGGAACTGCCAGGAAAAGGAAACTGTGGCTACATACTAGCTGGTTTCTCTGTCCTGGAGCAAACCAAGGAATAAATAAGAGTATTCTTCATTTAGGGTAGATTAAAATGATAATATAATTCTCAGTATTTAAATAGTTCAAGTCCTGTTTGATGGCTATCACATTTCCCATAGTAAAGTTTGTATAAGTAGCTATGAAGGTTCTTAAGGAACATGAAGTTATTGGTGTTGAAAATAGATACTTATGTATCTGCATAAAAAACTATCACTGCAGGCTTGTTCTGTTTACCTTTCACCAATCCTTTCCATTACTGACAAACTATTGAGCTTCCAAACAAGGACTTGGTAAGCTTTAAATATTTTTTAAAAGCCTGTGTAATGTAATTTGTTCTTTCTACAAAAAGGGTTTGAGAAACAGTAGGGAAATTTGAGTGGTGTTGAAGCTGAGCTGCAGTCAGAGACAGTGACTCCCTCATCTACAAGGCACAGGGGAAGGGTGCATCAAGGGGCAGTCTGCTGCAGGGGAAAGGTCTAATTAATTTGCTCTCCACTTTTTTTAGTTCTGCTGAGCCATCTCAATCGAGAGGGTGAACCAGGCTCTAAACTCCTTTCACAGCCAGGGTGCAGGTCTTGACCCTGTCTGGGTTCTCTCATAAGACCAAAAGGCTTCACTAAGTGTCTTCCCTCACCTAGTCTCCTGTTTCATGGAGGAGATCATACCTTGCTATAAAACTAGGTGCATGCCAAAAATACATCCTTTTTATTATATGAAAAGAATGTTGAGATTTTAGTCATTCAGATGTCATTCTATCCTATGGCAGAGTATTTTAATCTTAACTATGTAATTAAATAGCTCCATAAAAAGCCAAGCAAACTAGAATACTTTAATTACTTCATATTTCCTAAGCAATGTAACATATCATTCCGAGTAAGAAATCCCAGTTTTTTTTTTTAAAACACAAAAAAGGAGTAGAGTTGAAGTTTACATTCCCCCACCCCCCCAATGAAACGACGAGAGAGGAAAAGAGAGTTCTGATCTATCAAAATATTTAATTTCATCAATTTTAAACTTAGTGTTTGCTTTCTCTTCCAATTTTCAACATTTCAGTTTCAGAAATGGATGGAGTCTAGAAACGGACAGAGTTAAGCATGTCTGTGTGTTTTTTCTTTAAAGATATAAAATGTAGCCATTTTTATCATATTAAATGAAAGCCTACGGAATTTTCCTTAGGAAAAGGAAACAGCACTGTTTCAAGCTGGTCCTATTGAACTATTTTACTCACCCTCCTCTCCATATACCTACAAATCAGCCACGGAATACTAAATATTAAGTCCATCTACTGTGTACTCTGCAACCGCAAATCAATAATTATAGCAGCTTTTAAGATAGTAAACATACTAATAACAGCACAAAAGTAATTCCTAATTAAACTTGAAGAGTTGATAACAATCCAACTCATCCTAGCAGTCTGACAGGTAACAATTAGATTATTACTCCTGACACTTTCCCCTTTTTATGAGTCTTAGAGCTAGGCTGTTAGTTTAGGTTTGTGTTATTTAGTTTTTAAGAAAATAAAGGGATTGAAATCATTCAATATACAAGCATTTCACTTGCATTTTCACTTGACTGGCTTGTACCAAGTATTCTTGCATCATATGTCTAAACAGCAGCCTGATTTTGGTGATTCAAAACTTCAGAAATATTGTGACAAATAAGATATTAAAGGTGTAAATAGAAGTGTTGACATATCATTTTAAGCATGAGGAAGGGCTTCTCATAATGAAGATTCCCAGAACTCATGGAGTGTCTGTGAAGATTCCCCTACATCTGGGGAAAAGGGAACATAGAGCCAATCTGGCTAGATCTAGAAAATTTAAGATGGAATTTATGTTGAAAGACAGAGTCCTTTAAGAATGTTTATCAATCAAAAGAAGAGAAGTAGCTTAAATGTCCAAGAGGTCACCTAGTATGTCAACTTGGACATGTATTATTTACGTTGCAACACATACTTTCAAAGAAAATAAATGCCACCAGCATTATTCATAAAAAAAGATGTTACTTACAGAACTCTTCCATTGCTTACTCTGGTCACTGTGATGCCAAAGGGATTCTGATCAACTTTAACTTTATACTTTAAATGGGAGGCAGCAGAACCAGTGAAAGGTCCTACATGCTCATGTGGGACTTCAAATCTTTGTGTTTTAGGATCAGTGATCTGCACACAGTTAAACAACAAAAGTATTAGGTTTTAACAACTTATATCTAATTCTAACATTTTCCAGCATTATCATATATTAGCAAAAAAGCTCATTGTCAAAATAATATTAAGATAATACATGATCAAAGTAAATAAATGGCAAAATGAACACCATGTAAAGCTAACCAGTCCCTTTGTTTAGATATATATATATATATATGAGATCAGCAATTAGGTAAATATCCTATTTTTCACATGAATTTCTTTATCATTTAGAATTCTGAGCAACTGTATTCTCAATCATTTCACAGCCTTTCTTCAGTACCTCAATTTTAACCTTTCTCCATGTCCAGACATTGGCTATGCATAGCCAAACCCAGCGTGACTTTCAGGTTTCCTGTACAGCAGTCCTTCTTGTGGCAACCCTTCGTTCGGTCCCAGTCCCAGTTTTCTACTCTGTCCCACTGCACATTTCCATCCCTGTCCCAATCTTCTTCCTCTGCCTTCACTACTACTCTCTTCCCACTTTCATTATCCAGTTTCAGCAACTTCTCTATCTATAATTGACCCTGCCTTTTCCTTCCTCCATATGCCCTGCCTCAAGTACAAACCCACAATATCAGGAGGTTCTCTCACAGAAAAAGTCCTACTCAGGCCCAGAATCCATGGATATAGTATATTCACTATACATAGACTGCTGAACTTTCCATAATGAACAGAGGGCTTTAAGAGTGCTAAAGCTTTCTGATGAAATGACTGAAATACGGCCAGAGCATAAAAGTAATAAATACATTTGGTCCAAAAATATTTTCTGATTAAGAAGGAAAAAAGGTAAATATTTTAAAAAAATCTTTTTGCAGGTACTGGCATTTTTTCATACACAAATCCCATTGTATTAAATCATGATTATATGGCTTGTGATAGTAGAGATACAAAGAAAAGTAGAGGGGCTGAGTGTAGCCATAGCTCCATCCCCTCACTCTTCCAGAATCCCAAGTGAGCTATGTTGTGCAATGAGTTGACCTGGAAGCAAGGGAGCAGGATTTCAATTGAACATGCCTGAGCAGACTGAGAATGAATGGGTACTGTGCATCTAGACTTTCGTAAAAAGCTTTAAAAATTGTAGTTTGTCTTTGCATTAATTTTAGTTTGCATGGTTAGCTAAAAAGATCTCTTCTACATCCAAGAGAATACTATGTCCAAGGATATACTTCAGTGGGAGTCATGGAGTGCAGTGCAGAGAATTAACCCAAAACTTATAACCCCACTCCGTTTAACTTCTTCACAGTAATAGCCAGAAAAAAAATCTTGCATATAACATGAACCTTCAAATAGCATTTTAAAAAAAAAACGAACCCTGAACCGGAAGCGATTTTGTGTCTGATACTCTCCTGTGAGGAGGACAGTGTTGATATCATTTCCAAAGAGGGAAGGTGATGACAGCCTTCTTAACGTAGCTTGGAATCCTTAGGAAAAAAATATATGTTTCAGTATTACTGTATTGAAATGGACGTAGTTCTAGGATCTTATCCTGCAACTTACCTGTCTGAGTTGTTCGCACTGCTCCATCTACTCTGTATCCATGGTTTGAAGAGAAAAAACACCAGGGAATGTTGGAATCACTCTGGGGACTCCAGCAGCAGCCACGAAGGCTGCAGAGGCTCTAATCCAAAGGCAGGAATGGTACAAGTAAGCAGATTTTATACAAATTAGTTCTGTATACTAAAATAATTAAAATACCCATGAGATACATGTTTCTGATATTTGAGGTAAAACGCATATTATTTGCAATTAGATCAACTCATTCTCTGAAAAAATCTGTCAGGTAAATTTGGTGGCACAGAATATAAAAAATAAGGTAGTTTTTAGGAGTCAAAGTAGAAATTTGCTTTTTAGTTTTGAAAAAAAAAGAAAGAATTGGACTTTCTTTCTTAAAGCCAGAAGATCCAAAGGAAAAATGAATGTTAAAAAAATTGAATCACTTAAGCTGTGATGGATGCAGTACAGTCTGACCAGAAGTCATGCACTGAAAAGTGGATAATAATTATGGCTGGTTTTTTAACTTTTAAAATAGTTAAAAATAATAATTTTGTCTAAAAACAAAACCCTGAGTTTTGATAATTGTTTATAAACATCTACATATGTGGCACTGATCATCTGATGCATCACTGACAGGTCATTAATCATTTTAATTTAATGTTCAAATATCAGAAATATTTAGTTCTGCAAACCTCCAGTTGAAATAAATACACTTTTAAAAAGAAAAAAATTAAACAATTAAATCTGTTGTTTAAAATATATGCCATGGTGGAGTGGCACTAACCTTTACACTACATTTTAGCAGTCCAGTAAACCAAACTGCCTTTGCTTTGCTCTTAGAAATTAACTTACTCATCAACTGTTTGCATGAGTTTTATATTCAATGACAAGATGTGGGTAATTATATCACATTAAGTGTCCACACATTTTCTGTTATTAAAGAAATGACGCATTACTCAGGTCAAAGTGTAATAGTGATATAAGGAAATTCCCTAAGAGCAAAGGGCTATGTCATAAATGATCTCAGGTACCCACGTCCCACTGTCTTCCAGCTAATAGAAAACTACTGATGCCATTGCTTTCTTGATCTGTCTTTGGTAAAATATTGCCAGTGTTTGTGTCATCTTTATTTTAAAATATACTGCAGCTTGTTATAGCTGGAGGTGGCCCAAAGTTGGGTTTTATTGCTAGCCTTGGCCCTGGGGACACTCACTTCTGAATTATGCAACGGAGCCCAATAGGAGCAGTGCATATACTTTTCTTAAAATCTGCACAGAACAAAGACCAGCCAAGTCCTGACCAAAAATAATGCAAGTGCCTAAGGAAAGCACAGAGACTGAACGTGCAGATCTAATAACTTGAGAACCACCCTATGTTAGTACGTTATACAGTAGCAACAGCACTGGGTACAGAAGTGTCTTTAAAACGATCAAAGACAAACCAAGTTCACCAAAGAGAGAAACATCTTTTTCTCCTCTGTTAAGGAGTGATCAAATCAGAAAATATTTATCCTGTCATTTTCACAGAATGGTTGAGGTTGGAAGGGACCTCTGGAGATCATCTAGTCCAACCCCCCTGCTCCCGCAGGGGCCTCTAGAGCATATTTCCCAGGATCGCATCCAGGCGGGTTTTGAATATCTCCAGAGAAGGAGACTCCACTACCTCTCTGGGCAGCCTCTTCCAGGGCTCTGTCACCCTCACAGTCAAGAAGTTCCCAGGTCCTTCTCCGCAGAGCTGCTTTCCAGCAGGTCAACCCCCAGCCTGTTCTGGTGCAGGGGGTTGTTCCTCCCCAGGCACAGGATCCTACACTTGCCTTCACTGAACTGCATGAAGTTCCTCTCGGCCCAACTCTCCAGCCTGCCCAGCTCCCTCTGAATGACAGCACAGCCTTCTGGTGTGTCAGCCATTCCTCCCAGTTTAGTATCATCAGCAAACTTGCTGAGGGTGCGCTCTGTCCCTTCCTCCAGGTCACTGGTGAACAAGATGAACAGCACTGCACCCAGCATTGACCCCTGGCTTACATCGCTAGCTACAGGCCTCCAACTCGACTCTGCGCCCTGAGCTCACAACCCTCTGAGCTCGGCCATCCAGCCAAGTTCTCAATCCACCTCACCATCCACTCATCCAACCCACACTTCCCGTGTCACTTTCACATTTCGACCAAGTTTCACACAGAAAATATTGTTGGAAGAGAGATACTGGTGACCCATTTTCCCTAATGATGCAGAGATAGGTACATTTACTAGGGATCTGAAATGCCTGTGCTCACTTCCTACCTTACCAATTCCCACCAGAAAAGCTACTTATTCCCTCGATTATAAGCTATTTCAGAATAAATCAGAAGTAAGAAGCACCTATTCTTTCCCTCTGAAGTTCTTTTCCATATTAATGACTAAATATTGCAGAAATTATAGCTATGTTCTCTTCTTTTTCTTCACATACAGGATATACTCACTGCGGAGTTAGTTATTTTATCTCTTTCATTACTCTTTGCTAGACCAATGATTATTTAAATATCCCATGCAAAGTTAAATTGCTGGAACAACAGGGATTATCTTAAAGCCTCACTGTGCAAGTAATCCCTTTCTCCAGTTTCATAAATACATTTTTCTGTCTTTCAGTTACCTCTAATGAATTCTTTGAAAATTTTTCAGCAGTTACTTTACTATGTGGTGATATTCTTCTATTTAGATCTAACAGATCTGCAAACCTTAGGTTTATATTTTCATGAATCATCAAGTTTGCTGCATACAGAAGTATATACAGAACAGAAGTGTAAGATCTTTTATGCCTAGCACAGAGAAAGAAGCAGGGTTCACCAAAAGAGTATTTGAGAGACTATTATAAAAGCTATACTATAGATAAAGACGTAAGCTGACCTTACCTTCTGAGCTATAAAAACATCATAAATATCATCAATACCAAAATAAATATCATCAATACCAAAATAAATATCATCAATACCAGTCAAGGAAAGAAAGCCAAAGCTGAACTAGAAATAATCCTAGATACAAGGAAACAGTTTATGGTGAGATAAGCCACCATAGAGATAGACAGTCTCTGACCATTGAACTTGGCACCAAGGATTAAAATAGTTTGACTGTGTACTTAACTATAATGTTGCTTTTATGTAAACATAAACAGATAAATCTGTGTCAGCATGGTATTATTAAAAAACCCAACACTGTTCAATAGTAAAATGAAATACTAGTGCATGCACCAGTAACGGGAGTTGATTTTTCATTGGCATGTTCTTATTGTCTAACAAAACTTTGTTACAGTGAATGGTTAAATGTCTACACTTTTTCAGCATTTCTATCTTCAGAAATCCTTTGAATGGTTAATAAATATCTAATTTCTACACTTCTATCATCAGTGATTCTGCTTATAAAAGCTCATTTTCTGGCTTCTTTTAGGATATTTTCAATGAATGATGAAAACAAAACAGATATTAACTTGAGCTTAAGTAAATCACAATTTTCCCAACTGCAGTTTAACTTGAAATCAATAAAAAACACATAGAAGATTTATGTTATTTCCTAAATAGGTACCTCCAGTTGTACAGCTCTGTCTGTTGAAGTATTAGAACAACCCTAAAGGTAGGACAACCAAAATGTTTACAGGGGAAAATGTGTAGAATGGAGAGAGTGGGGTGGGATTCTGGACTGTCATGCATTTACCTAACACGGTTCATCAGGGCACAGAATAAAAGTGGTGTTTATCTCAGTAATCCTGTGAAGTTAACTGTCTAGTCTTCATTAAGGAAGAGATTCGGGAATCATTTGCTATTCAGCATCCATTTGACACTGAAATGAAAATAGAACCTTAGAAAATGTACTGGAGAATAAGTATGTCAAAAATATTTCATTTTTTAATTAATAGCTCTCCCCTTTTTTTCCAGGGGATTAGCAGACATACATAGGTTATTAATCTGGTATGTAAAAGATCAAAGCAAAGTAATATTTTTCCTTCAGAACAGTTTTCACTCCAGAAAACAGATGCATGGCTGTGGTTTGAATCTCTCTCTCCTGTATCCTAGCCGAAAGTTGCTTCCTGATTTCTCACAAGCATAAGCACAACTGAATTGTGTTTGTGCACAAGGACTGTGGTAAGCTGCAACTGGGTTGTATAGGAAGTTATAAGGAATAGAAAGGAGTAAAGCTGAGAAGGCAAGACCTCAAAAACCAGGCATAAAGCTTGTACTCTTTCCTGAGAACCAGCCTGACTCTGTGGGCTCCAGGCTGTGCAGTGCTGGAGCAAGGTTATGATACAGCACTCCTCTGAGGCAGCATACTGTGCAGAGCCACTCTCTTCTCTGCCTTTGTCTAACTTATTAGTAACTTAAACAGTGAAAGTGATCATACTTCAATTCAGAGCATTATAATTGGACCCCAAGTCACACATGGCTGTGAGTTGGATCTATCTGTCCCTTTACTTTAAGGAGTTCCTTAGCAATCAAGCAGTCTTTCATAGCCTAAAGCCATCCTGGTGCAGAACAAGGCTGAGAATGAGGCAGAAGCAAAACACAGGCGTAAGGTGGTCTGTAAACTGCTCTTTGCCATCAGTGTGTCTTTGCAGGGTGGTTCTTTCCTTGGAGTCAGCATATCAGGAACTCTTGAGCTGTAACAAACTCCAAGTCCTCCTGGTTGCCCTCCTTTCTAAGTCCCATCCCTGCTTGTCCCTGGCCCACCGACAGCTTCCAGGCCTTGGTCCAAACAGCAGCTCCTGCTCTGACACATTTTGTCCAAGCCTTTTTCACTACTGCCCAGGCACAATGCCCAGGCCATAACATAACAACATACAACCAATGAGTAAACCTGATAGTCTCTCACAGATAATGAATTAAATGGACTGTCCTTCCATTTTTATTATTAAATTCAGGAATATTTAATACCTATATTATTGAAATGATGAAATCTTGGACTGATGTCTCAGTCAGACAGTTGAGGTACACCCAGATCAGTTACCCCAACATTCAGACCTGCATTTGGTCCTACTTTTCTGCCTGTCCCTATTTTGATTCTTTTAAATTGCTTTTAATCAGATATTCACAGATCAAAAAAGGATAAAAAACCCACCGATCTATTAAATAAGATTTTTTTTGTAATTAAACATGAGGCTTTATGGCATGAAGCCCACTTCCTAATTCTCTCCATAATAATGTTTTCAAACCTTTGTGGCTACTTGATCCGGGATGCAGTCAATTCTCTCTGATAAGTTTACTGTTGGACATTCTGGAGAAAATTCTGTTAGGGAAAAAAAATGTGTTATCAGTATTTAAATTATAGGACTTTCTTGATTGCCTCTCAATTCAAGAACTATTTCTGCAGGTTGTTCCTCATTAGCTTGAAACTTTGTAATTGCTAATATCAGTTCAAATGAGGCTAAGCTATTGCTGATGTGTTTATCTTAATTTTAAAAAAGTACATAACTATTCTAGATAAAGATTTTCACTTTTCAGTTTTTAAAAGTGTGCTTGATATTTATAATTCTATTTCTGAAGATAGGCAATAACTCTGTTGTAAATAAATCCTATAACTCTTACTTCTTGTAAAAATATATGTCAGTTTAAAACTGGCCTTTTTGTTTTTTATATGGTATTCTGCTAGTGCACTTATGTGCTCCTTCTCCTGAAGAACTGTTCATCCACAAGAACTTGAATTGGAGCATCATCATAAATAAAAGCGCCTCAGAGCTAATAAGATGCTCTACTAGATTTCAGATTTGCATGACCTCTTGACAACTTTAGCTGACAAAAGAATAACTGAGGACTGTTTTAAATTTCTCCCAACACTGAAAATTATTTTATGTATTTTGCAACTGTAGTGGAAACAGTTCAATCCTAGGTTTCCAAGGAGCAGCATCTCAGATGTACAACAGCTAAATTAATTTATTTATTTAAATGGCAGTACGACAGAGTAACAGCTCAAGCTGGGTGCCTCTGGGGAGGGACCCAGAACAAAAAAAATTCTTGAGTAATTATACTTTCTGCAATCTTATTTCCCCTCCTGCCAGTGAAAGTCTCTTCCAATCTTCTTGCTAGATGGTTGCTACGTTCCTGCTCCATAGTACCTTATCTTATCCAAACATCAGCCATGACCTCCGTTCATTCTGGTTGCTCTGTTCTGCAGCCTTGAGGGCTGGTTCCAGCTGATTTTGCAGTCACATCGTCAGCAATGTTCTTCGGGTTACAGTTCAATCCCGTGGCCTGCAGGCTTCACTTACTTTAGGCACTTATGCCTAACTGGAGTCAGACTTATGCTAAGCTGAACCTATGTCAGCTACAATTCCCTTCTCTAACAGTTACACTGTATAGATTTGGGATGAGAACTACGAAGCTTTAAAAACCTGCTTCAGGCTGAGATTTACACACTCCCCTATTTGTATTATATGTAATATATGCATATGTACATTTTGCTCAGCCAGACTCATATTCATGTTGAGACTGAAAAAGGCAGAAAATGTGCAGATATTAGTTTGCATGAGCAATTCTACTAACACTGAACTGTTCATTTAGTATTAGCAGTTATTTTCATTTTAGTCATTTTCATCTGTAAAATGCTGCAGTCTCCATATGCAAATGGTTACACATACCAGATGGAATCATATGTAAAATAGGATTCAATGTATTAGCATCTCTATAAGACAAATGGTTTCTGAAGTATCAAAATATTAGAAGGAAACATTATAGGTTTTTATGGCTATAGGTTTATCTTCATGCAATACGGCTTACTCCTGAACAGTTTCCCTCCTTTCTTTATTTCAGTGATGCTTTATATTCAAAAAATTGAACTTATATTCTTTCCATACTAAAAAATAAACTGAAGAAAAATAAAGTGCAGGCTTGGGGGGAAGGGAAAAAAGTTTTTTATGGCCCTTAATGAGGCAGAAGAATCATGAAGTTTCTTTTTGTTGATGAACATTTCTTATGTTCATCATTATTCATGTTATCTGTAAGAAGCCATGACTATGGTTCACCTTTGGTTAATGATAAAACTATAATGACATCAATAGCAAAATCATTGTTTTTATTATGGCTAAGAACATCAGAAAAACGCTTATGCGCTTTTTTGTTTGAACTTCAGTTCTTCTTGAAGAGTCTAATCCCAATTGTCATTGAAATGTTGCTACCCATCAGCTCTGATAGGAATCCTGTTTCTGAAGATTCATAGCATGATTATTTTATGAAGCAGACCTGAACAATTCAAGATGAGGAACATTTTTCTGGTTCTATGGAAACAATGATAAGTACTTACGTGTACTTTTGTGTCCAGTTTGTCCTGTTGCCAAAAGTGCAATGAGGACACAGGCCACAGTCACGACCAAACAAAATAGGACAATTAGTACTATTTCCAATCCACTGAACTTCTTTCCCATCTAGGTATAGACAAATATCATTGTATAAGAAAAACAGAAGTATTGGTTTTGAAAGCCCTAGAAATTATTTGTTTTAAATCATATCCCCTAATATAGAGATGAAAATAGAACAGCTCCTTATGGACTAAGCGCAAGAATTTTCATATTCAGAATAATTCAAGTAACAGATTACTGCATTACTGAATGATTGGGCAATCACTGAAGTGTTTATTTTGTTCCCTGCAAACTTCTTTAAAATATGCACAAACTAGAATTTTCATTCAAGTTTAAATAAGGAAATCCTTACATTTTACTGAAACTCCAGAACAGAAAACAAATTCCTAAATTTTGATCTTGCAAGTTTTCTTTCATTCTTTAGAACAAAGAAAAACTAACTTTTATTTTATAAAGTGCATTACTTTTTTGTAGAATAGAAGAAAGGCATGTAAGCATAAACCCATATGATTAAACTGATGTTAAAGTTTAGGTAAGGCAGAAGTAACTACTATGAGCAGCATGATGACACCTGGTTATATAGTGACTGAAACAAGGTAGACTACATAGATGGAGTTAGTGCCTTGACCTGCTGTATAAATACTAGTGCTTTTTCCTTTTGTGAAAGAATTACTGCACTCCAATACTGCTTCTTTGGATGCAGAGAGTAAGGCGTACTCCATTGACACAGAAGTAAGGCATATTCCCAGTGACCGTTTATCACGTGTGACATGATCAAACATGTCTGTTTGATCTTTCAATGTGTAATTTGTAAGTGTAACTATGCCAGCTGCTCATCTCTGACAAGAGGGCAAGAGACACTGAATATTAGGAACATTGCCATCATTGACAAACACTGCTGAAGTGTTTGGGCTGCACAACCAACTACTCAATCTTGTGTTAAGAACAAGATTATGCCATTAAAGTTTAACTTTACAGTACCAATCAAACTATTTCAAACTAGTGTCCAGGATCCAGATGAACATATACTGGCAGCAGTAACAGCATTTTTCATTTGGTTAAGAACATTTAAGCTTATAAATCAGCTTTAAATTAGTGTCTTTAGTTATTCCTCTATGTATACATTACATTGGCATATCAAAGCACTGTCACATGATGTAGGGATAAGCCAAAAGAGGAAAAATACTTTTGAAAAGGCTTTTTGGTAAAAGAACAGTTTAAATCTATTGCACCTCCTCACGTCTCATGTCTTCCAAATATCTGCTATTGCCCCACCTGTATCCTAATTCATAAACATTCCACAGCCACAGGAATGAATAGATAGTAAGAGCACTAATAAAATAGTCCCTAGAAAATAAGGCTAGTATTTAGAAAAATTACTTTTCAGCATGGCAGCTAATATAAAAGCTTTTATAAATAGTGCAATGCTTTTCACATTCTCCCCATTAATATAAAATTCTTAGACATTTTTAATATTATGATTATTGCTATTTCCCCAGGAATGCTATGTTTAAAAATCTGCAATTACATTGTTATATTGGAAACTATGTACTTTAAACTGTTGTTTACAATAAAGAAATGATACTCTGGCTGCTTCTCTCTACAGTTCACTTTAATATTGTCTGAATATTTGTTGACCAGGAGCTACAAGAAGTAACATTTATTTTCAGGAAAACTAGAATATTATTGGAGTTCTCATTGCAACATCCTCCTCCCCACCCACCAACAGCCATAACATTGTATTTTAGTTCTTTCACTCTCAAGGTCTGCCCAAAGGACTGCAATTTTGAAAAAAGGAATTATAATTTAGAAGTGCAAATTCTACTGTGGGACATATACTCAGCAGATAGGTAAATTTCACTAGAAACTTGGATGTAGTAAATGAAACTACATACCTTACAGCCCCTTTGCTTCCTTATTCTCCTACAGCTCTTTAGTAAAAGCCAAAATCTACCCTTTATGCTATGCTGTTATCAGTCCATTCCATCGTTTGTTAACTAATCTACCAATGGCAGGTATATACGCAATTACAGGCAGATTGTGTAAGGGTGTGTGGACCAGGAGAACATCTGCTTCATTAAGGTTATCTGATCAAGGACATTTTCTGAGCAAAAGGGTTAATTAGCAAAGGGGGAAGCGATAAATAAAACATACAGAGACACAAACCTGATTGACAAGGGATAACAGAGACAATAATAAAGACCAGATGTCTCCAGTCACTAGTCACTAGGCCATTAGGAAATTATAGTTTTGGATAGGGCTGACCTGGACTTTGTAACTGATAAGAAGGCAGACATGAGGGGTGTGTGTGCTCATAGGGAGGTCTATGGGATTGTGTTAAACTTACTAAAAATATTTGAGGGAGAGGGATCAGGGAGGAGCAAGGTGGGAAGTATAGAGAGGAGGGAGTATAAAAAGGGCTGGTAATGTTTAAGCAGGGGCCTGCCAGTACGATTGTCTGAGTGAGCCCTGCACCTGATCACTACAGTTTATTATATCCTCTTATTAAATGCTTTCTTAACTATCTTTCTGTATAATCTCATTTTCTATCCCATGTGTGAGTTCTGTAAAGTCTAGATGCAAAGAACTGGAGAGAAAAGAGTGAGTGAATTTGGGACCGGCAACTGGAGTCAGACCTCAGGCAGTGGTAGCCTTCGTGTCTGTGGTTCCAGCAACTAAAGTCTCAGCATCAGTAGTTGCCGGGACCACAGGCTTATGGGGTCTTGTGTCAGCTACTGGGGGACCTGCATGAGTAAATTTGGGGCCAGCAAACGGAGTCAGATCTCAGGTGATGGTGTGTCCTGTGTCTGCAGTGCAAGCAACTGGAGCAAGTGTGAGTCTCAGTGCCAGCACCTGGAGGTGGGCCTGTGGTCGTAGTGCCCATGTGCCTGGGCAACAGCTGCTGGGAAGGGGCTGGAGTGTCTGTATTTTCCCCTAACCAGAGAGGGGTGTGTGTGCGTATGTGTGTGTAATTTGCTAGCAAACCTCAAGCTAGACTAGCCAGTCAGTCAGACATCCAGGGACCAGAAAGGGATGCTGGACAGACAGAGGGCCCTTGCTGATATTTGAGGGATCTGTGAGTGTGGGGGTGCTTGTGAGATAAGTGTGTGCATCTGTTCATTAAAGACCATCATTCTACGAGCAAGTAGGAGGCCTGAATGGTAGATAAGGGGACTCAGGATCTGGGCAGGGATATCAGATGGACAGAGGAGCCATACTGATGTTTGAGAGACCCACAAATATGCATGTGCTTGTGAACTAGAGAGTAAGGGTTTGTGTACTTTCACTAGTGACATTCAATCTCTGCTAACTGTAGAGGAAGAAGGGGACTTGGCTATCTATTCTTATGTTTTATATGAATTCTGGTAGGATTATATGTAGGTATTGTCGAAGGCATCACCTTGTCTGTGGCAGTGTGTGTAGCTGGCCATGTTAGTGTCATCTGTGTGTGTGTATGTGTATCTGAGATTACATGCTCACTCTTGTTGAACCTGCAAATGGGAGAGCAGGAGCTGCATCCATCAGCCCAGGACAGAAAGACCTCGGGGTCCTTGGCACACAAGGCTGAGCCCCAGCAGCCAGGTAGGAGGGTTCCTTGTGTCCCAGAGCCCACCAGAGGCAGCTGCCATATAACCTCCCTGAAGAGACCGTAGAAACACTTTGAGCTAAAATTAGTTGCTAGGGTTACTGCAGCCAAAGAATGGCTAGTCAAGCAAAAATACCATGCTCAAGGACCCTGTTCTTGAAATGCAACCTGGTATTTGACTAGCTCACCCATGTCATTTCATTGTTACCACATTATTCTCCTGTGCATGTGTGCAAGTAAGCTCTGGATATCTGATTCTAACAGTCATTTTATGATATTGCTAAATATACTGCTTTATGAGTGCATATTTAAGCATAACAGTTTCACATGGGTTACGCAGATGCCAGTGGAGCCACAGGGGTGTGGACCTGGGGAAGCTTTAGTAGCTTCTAGCGAGCTCAGTTAGCTGCCCTTGACCCAAGGATGCCTGGAGCCTTTGTTGCAGCTGATCCCTGATTATTGAGACATGACAGTTTAACATGGATTACACCAATGTCAATGGTTTTGGGACATTCTGCATATCTGTTTTCCAAAATGTATAACTTTGTTTAGGCTAATTCTCCAAAATATTCAGTCTGGGAAAGCATATGACCTTGGGCTTTATTGCACGTGTGCAATCATCCTGCCATCCCTGTAATTATTTACTTAAGAGCTTTCCGGAACTCACAGTGCCACAATCTTGTATTATTAATCATCCAATGAACATTTTTAATGCAACTTGACAGGGTAAAAACAGAAAATAAAAAAGTCAACCAGGAGGGCCAACCAGCAGGTTTCGTAGCTGAGTAAATTTTCATTAGTTTACACAGGATATCAGCAACAATGCTTTCAGGTCAAGATACAATCCTGAACTGAAGTGGAAACGGAAGATTCTTGCAGACAGGAACACTGAGAGACTGTAAAGACAACCCAGAACTATTAAATCAAGAGCTGGAACAATACGGTCTATATGGTATCCTGATTTTGTTTCTAGGAACTAAGAGTCAATTATTTCCTGACAATCAGTAAGTGACATTGTTAGAAGCCTGTGAGTATAGACTAGATGGTAGAGAATAGTCTAGGAAAATAAGCTAGGAAATTAGGTACTGTTAAAAATGTAGACATTTAAAAAGAGACATTTATTACTCAGTTTTTCTCTAGCCCATTTTTAATTAAATCTTATACAAGGTTGAACAACTTTAAAAAACTTGTTGGTCAATTGTAGTTAGCTCCTAGATTGCATTTAGTCAGAGAACTGTGTTAATAACTGTGTTTTCAGTTAAGGGAACATATTACAAAAATAATAGCTTCTACTTTTTCTACAGCTTCACAAGATATGTTATTTCACTGTCTCGATATCAAACATTTACTTTAAATTACCCCTTAGAGCCTTTAATTACTCAAGAAGATTGCAGATTGCCAGTTCATGTAGCAATATAATAATTAACCTTTGCGGAAGGACATGTATCAAACATCTAATGGGAGGGCACTGGCCCTTCAGTATTCCCCAGAGCCTTGTGATGCAGCAGAGATGTTTGTACTACTTAAACTACACCACCATCACAGTTCAGACAGTAGAGAGCTATTCACTGCAGTCATAGTCAGGATTCATATTCAAGGGAGGAAGAAGGTTAATTGACTTCTAGAGCCAGTCTTAGAGAATCAAAGACTCATTCCTCAACCATGGGAAAGAGAAACACACTGTCTTCTGTATATGACAAGTCAGCTGTCAGCTGCAGTCTCCTCCCTTCTCTGTGTTACTAGATGCAGTCCCTGTTACTTCAGAAGTAAGAGATATCAGTTCTTATCACTATTTTGGGTACAGAAGCACAAATGACCGCTCAAAGCAATGAGTCATAGGAGCAGCTAGCAGAGGCAGCCAACAGATACAGCAGTTTGCACAGCAGTCTCTGGGATCTTCTGGGGACTGGGTCTGGGAACATCCAGAACTCCTTGGAACGGTCTGAGAAACTTAAGCCTGGTACTAGCAGGTAAGGACAACGTAAGGGGAGCCACAGAGATGTGGACCTGGGGAAGCTCTAGCAGCTTCTAACGAGCTCAGTTAGCTGCCCTTGACCCAAGGATGCCTGGAGCCTTTGTTGCAGCTGATCCCTGATTATTGAGACATGACAGTTTAACATGGATTACACAGATGTTTGGGACATCCTGCATATCTGTTTTCCAAAATGCATAACTTCGTTTGGGCTGATTCTGCAAAATACTCCTCCATGTGCACCAGTAAGGGGGAAGAGGGTGAGGAGTTGACTAACCTTGCATGTCAACAATTGGCTACCCAGCTGGTGTTGGCAACAGGGTTTCGGTTTCTATGACCATGGGACCCTGTTTGAGGAGTGACGTCTGCTTAGGAGAGACTGGATCCACCTAGTGAAATGGGGCAAAAGCATATTTGCCAACAGATTGGCCAACCCAGTAAGAAGGGTTTTGAACTAGGAATGATGAGAGAGGGAGAGAGTTACCAGCAGCCATGTGAGGGAGTGATGGATGGAGTTGACAAGCACAGGTCCCGGGTGACATGAACAAGAAGGGAACACATAATCAACAAAATATGGCCTAAGTGGGGGAGCCTCTAGCATTTGCATGTAAGCAAGGAAATGCCTACAGGATAGCATTATAGGAAGATTTCTCATAGCATTTCTGGGAAAACAGCACACTTGGGTGCCTCTCTGAAATACCTGCATATTAATGTATGCAGCCTGAGGAATAAACAGCAGGAACTATGTATCTGTGTACAGTTGCAGGGCTATGATCTCCTTTGAATCATGGAGAGGTGGTGCGATAACTCACACAAGTGGAGTGCTGTGAGGGATCCACACTCACAGGTTCTTTAGGAAGGACAGGCCAGGAAAGCAATGAGGGGGGTCACCCTTTATGTGAGACAGCAGTGAGAACACATTGAGCTGTGCTACAGGTAGACAATGGGAAAACTGACAGCTTACAGCTTTGAGTAAGGATTAAGAGTCAGACCAATATGGGTGACATTGTTGTGGGTGTTTGCTACAGGCCACTTGATTAGGAAGAAGAAGGAGATGAGGCCTTCTACAAACAGCTAGAAGTAACCTCATGTTTGCAGGTCCTGGTCCTCATAGGTAACTTTAACCACCCTGATACCTGCTGGAAGGACAACACAGCAGGACACAAGCAATCCAGGATGTTCCTGGAGATCATCAATGACAACTGCCTGATGCAGGTGATAGTGGAGCCAAAGAGAAGACGTGCTGTGCTGGATCTCATACTCAGAAATAAGGAAGAGTTGGTTGGGGATGTGAACGTCAAGGGCAGCCTTGGCTGCAGTGACCATGAGATGGTTGAGTTCAGGATCCTGAGAAGAGGGA